AAACCCCACTTTCACCGATTCTGTCAAAAAAGTCCGTGGTTGCAGTTCAAAATAGAGCAGACAGGAGTCACGGAATGCCCGAAAGCGTGTGCGATCCCTGTGGAAGCGCTCGGGTAAGGGTACTCGGGGTTCCGCCATAGGGAGTGATGCGGAAGGCCCAGGAGCCGGCTCGTGGGCTGTTGCGACCGGAGGTGCAGGAGTCGGGGCCTGTGAAACAGGAGCAGATATGGTGCAGGCCTGAAACCGATTCTCAATCTGCAAACATCTGTCCTGTAATGTGTTTACTGCTTGCGTCAGGGTAGCCAGGTGCCTGCAAACCTCCTCCAACGGGGAGGTTCCTCCTCGAGGCTCAGTCATGGCCTTCTGGTACTGTGAGGGACCGCCGAGCGGCACCACTAGCACTCCACCGGTCAGGCGCGCCCAGAGCGCGGAGTCTAAGCCCCAGGGTACTTGTTCACCAGGGCCCCTAATGGTGGGGATGGACTTGTAGTACCCGGGACCAGGTCGCCACTACTGAGCACACCTGTCAGTGGTAGGGGTGTTCGCCAGGGGCTCCAACCAGGGAGAGCCAGATGTGAGGAGGTCGGGTGACCCCGATGGGATGGATGGATGGATGGCTGAGCAAGTGCGAAGTCAGACAGGCCGAGTTGGTAACGTAGAGGACGGTAAGGTACAAGGGAGCAGGCAGAGAATCGTCGGGTCACACGCCAGGTCAGCAACAGTAGGTCAGATCTAATGAGGGGCATCCAGGGAGAGAGGTCAGGCAAAGCAAGGGTCTGGGCAGGAGAAATCAGCAGGTCAAGAACAATCCGGGTCAAATAACTTACAAGGCACAGGTTCAGAATCACAGGAAGCAGGTAAGACCAGAAGGCAACAAAATGACAGCTCAGGGACCTTTAAATATCCCGCCCTGCGCTGCCATTGGTGCCCAGCGGGCGGCCGCGGCTTCTACTGCGCATGCGCGAACTCGAACGTCGCGGCCGGCCCGGACCTAGTGCCCATGTCCCTGCACAGGGCGGAGCAGTGCGCCGGGACCATCGCGGCAGGGATCAAGGGGATCCCTGACAGGGGGAAGGTTGTCCGCTCCTCATTTGCTAAACACATCTAGAAAGTTGTGGTAGGCCGGGGGGATGAGTTGCATCAATTCTGCGTCAGTGTCTAAGCATAACAGGGAGCGTGGAGTCAAAGGTGCCAGGAGAGCGCAGTTCTCCTGACAGTATGGGGAGCTGAATTGGAGGGTCCCGGTTCAGCAATTAATCTGGGGGTCGTGTGCCCGTAGCCAAGGAAGCCCCCAGAATAATTGGAAACAAAGGGAATGTGATGGCATCCAAACGAAGGAGCTCTTGGTGGTGCCCTGCCACTGTAACACAGAGAGGTGGGGTCTCCCGGTCTACCACTCCTGATTTAATTCGGGACCCGTCAGCCAGGAAGATGTTCAATCCACATTCCTTGGTTTGTAGGGGAATCTGATACTGTGCTGCAAACCCTAGATCAATAAAGCAGCTACAGGCCCCGGAATCAATGATTGCTGTTGCTGATACGGTCCTGCCGGCAAGCTGGAACAAGACAGGTACTGCTAAGTAACTAGAACTATTAATGTCAGTGGAAGATGTGGCAGAAAAAACAGATGTACACTTACCCAATTTTGCTGGGCAGGAACGTACCATGTGGCCCGCTTTCCCACAGTACAGGCATAGATTGTGGAACCAGCATCCCTGGCGTTCCTCGGGCGTTAATGAGGGACAAGTTAACCCCACTTGCATAGGTTCAAGTGCGTCTACTGTCTCCGGGTAGCGGTTCCCAGTAGGCAAGGTGGTCTGCACTGGAACATGGGGGCAACACCCATGTAGGCCTCTGACTCTGGCTGGACTTTTACATTCTGCGTTCCCGCAAAGCAACCGCCGGTCAACCTGGATGGCCAGAGTGATGAGGTCTTCTAATGTGGCTGGTATGCCTACCCTGGCTAGTTCATCCTTCAAAGGCTCAGACAAACCTATGAGCAACTGATGGCGCAGGGCCACGTCATGCCACTGTATCTCCCATCCAGCGCCTGAATTCTGCCGCATACTCCTCAGCCGTCCTACGACCCTGTCTGAGTGTTTGTATGGCCGATTCGGCTGAGGCTGTTCGCTGTGGGTCATTGTAAAGGAGTGCCATTGCTTCAAAGAAGGTTGAAACCGACTCCAGCTGTGGTTGATGGGTCTCCAATAGCCGGTGGGCCCAGGCCTGGGGTTCATCCTGTAGCAATGAAATGATGAACCCCACCTTCACCGATTCTGTGGAAAATGTCCGCGGCTGCAGACTGAAGTAAAGTTTGCAGGCATTGCAGAAAGCCCTGAACTTGGTGCGGTTCCCATTGACCCGCTCCGGAGTGGGTACCCGGGGTTCCGGTACGGGCATAGAGGCCACGGCTCCAGCAGGAGTTTCCGGGAGACTACCGGCCGACGAGGATGGACCCGAATCTTGGGGTGCAGGGGCGGACGTAGTCAATGTCTGGATCTGTCTTTCCAAGTGTGTATAACCCTCCTACAGCATCTTTACTGCCTGGGTTAGTGCCGCCAGGTGCTGGCAGATGTCCTCCAAAGGGGATGGTCCTCTTCCAGGCTCCGACATCTGGCCGTTTGGTACTGTCACGATCCGCCTGGCGGCGTCTCTATCGGTCCACAGTACAGAGTTCCTCAGGGCGCGGGGTCTAAGTCCCAATCTGCTTATTCACCAGGGCCCCTGATGGTGGGGATGGACTTGGAGCAGACTGAGACCAGGTCGCGACCCCTGAGTACGTCCAACAATGGTAGAGTGCACCGTCAGAGGAGTGCGGGGTAAGGAGTCTGATGTGAAGAGGCTGGTAGACCTGGTAACCAGGAAGGATCCCTGTGGGATGGATGGATCGTCTGGGTGGCTGGAAGCATAGTCGGGCAGGCCAGGTCAGCAACGTGCGGGCAGCGAGGTACTGGAGGAGAAGGCAGAGAATGGTCAGGGTCACAAGCCGGGTTCAGTAACTAGCGGACAGCACGGTACAGAGGGTCAGGCAGAAGGATGGTCAGGCAAGCCAAGGGTTAAGCAGGATACAATCAGCAGGGTCAGGTACAATGCAGAGGTCGGCAACGGGAGTAACACAGGATCAGGTATCAGGAACAGAGCACAAAAGACCAAAGGGCAATTTGACATACCTCTAGTCCAGTTTAAATAGCCCGCCCTGCGCTGTCATTGGTGCCAGGCGCGTGTCCGTGATGGCGAGTGCGCGGTCATCACGATCGCCCAGGTCCCGCTGCTCGCTGGTTAGGATGCATCGGTGTCCTGCGCATGCACCGCCCGGCGCATCGCGGCAGGGACACCGATCCCTGACACTTATGCTGAACAACAACATCATATACACAAACATAATCACTTTACTACGCTTGTTTCTTGCACAAATGTTTCTGTGCTATACTCCTAACCATTCCATGATTTATTTGCATTCTGTGATATGTTTACGAAGAAAAAAAAACAATAAAAGATGTATTGAGCCATAAAACGTGGCAAAAACATGTCTATCTGTATTCAGCATTTCAAGATGGATATGTCGTCAATGATCATGCAGAGCATTCAGCAAGGACTCCAGGATGGTTTCTGTAGACTTGAAAGAAGCTTATTTGCATGTCCTTAGTATTTTATACATAATTTTATTTTTAGGCTCATAGATATTTCCAAATATTTTGTAGCAGTATGCTACAGTTGTTTATGTGGGACTGAGGGTGTAAACCAATTGTCATATCTGGATTGAGTCAGAAATGAATTTTTTCCCCATTGAGTCATAAATGGGCAGAAATGTCTTCAGGAATTCTTCTGTCTAGATCTGGATTTGCAAAGCAGTGATTTCTAAAGCAGACCTTATGGAATCCCACATAACAGTGAATTAGTCCAAATGATTAAATCTTATTTGGAGCTCCCTCAAGGGCTAAACTAGGAGCCATGGAGATTTATTAGAAACCAAAAAAGTGTAACTGCTTGTCTGCCTATTGCTATATAAAGTTATTCATTTTTAAAATGATATCCTTATGAACATGTCCATGTATTATTTCTATGTTTCAAACACAAAGTCTCAAGAGTTCTAAAGGGATGCCAGTCTAGCACAGCTGTTTTGTGTTCAAATGGAAGAGGCAATTATGTACTTCGTTTTACACATTTAAAATACAAAGTCCTGTCTAAAAACAAACACTCAAATACCTTGTCACCTATTATACATAATGTCATCTCCTATGTCAACACAACTCGGAAGCAATTTGTGGTGTGCGCACAGATAGACCTATTTCACCCACACCTGTTTCCATTTCAGAGTGAAACAGAAGCAAGTGTAGGGGCCACTCTTAATTAGCAAAGGGTTTATGGACATTTTCAGTATAAACTGCCACAGTTCCCCACTACGTCAGACCTGACACACAGGATGTGAGCTGTCAGACAACTCGCATTCCCCTTTTTGCTTGTGCAGTGATCACATTGCAGGCACAGAACCTACAGATTTAACAACCCTCCTCCCTCACTCATCTGAACAGAGGGGAGAGGAGAGGAATCAGAGCAAGAAGCTCCAGCTGAACTGGCCTTTGCCACTGACATAAAGCGCCACTCTTTGTTAATTCCCCAGGTTGTGTTCAGAGCGCCTGCTACCAGCATTGCTATGTACAGCTGTGTAGCTGGATCTGAATCCCAGAAGCTGACCCCAGCCGTCACTGATAGTTGATGGTTTAAGTCTTCATTACCGCAAGGACCAGCAAGCCCCATTGTGTACAACATGCTACAATGCACCACAACATATCAGAATAATCTAAATGACAGATTTTAAAGAGTAGTGCACAAGAAGGCAAGCCTACAAAAAAAAGCTCCATCTACACAAATCAGAAATGTTTATTTTAAATGCATTTACTATAATATATTAAGCTAAACTACATGTGTTATTTTCCATTACAGTATTTTTGTTCAGCTTGTGACTGTTATTTTCAAAGCTCATTATTGAAAAGAATTCTTTTTTTGCAAAAAAAAAAAAAAATCATTATAGCTTAGTGAATTGAACCAATTAAAAAAAAAACAAAATGTTCTGCTGTATATGCAATTTATTAACAGCTAGCAGTAGAAGAAGGTTAAGAGGCTTTTTATTTAAACCTGGGAATGACACACAAATAACCAGGCTTGCTTCTGAGACATTTAGGTTGGCTATACACTTACAAATTTTTATATTAAATGTATTCCTTCTGTGCCACAGAGATTGACTTAGATTTTGTGGCTGATGTGTGACTCATGCACTACTTCCCCAAAACAATTTGCCCCTATAATCTTACTAGACCTTGCAGCAGTGAGACTTCAGTACTGCACAGATGGGAAAGATTGAGTGGCTGAGTTGGGATGTATAAGAGAACTATTCTAAACAAGACAAAAAAAGAGACAATTGTGTGGAAAACTCTTTTACATTTAAAATGCAGAGTATCTCTCCAATGGACATGACATAAGCATGCCATAGCTTGTTTCCCTGACAACCCTGAAGAGTTTTTCATAGAACTTGGACAGAAAGGTAAGTAGCTAAAAAGTAAATGTATAAAGTGCTGTTTTTCTGTGGGATTTCCATACAAAATGATGTGTTCTTACTGGAAGACCGTTCCAATCATAGATGCTTTCTATAGATTACAGGCTTACTTGAGAAAGAATTCCTGAAATCAAAAACAAAACCTAATTGTGGTAACACATTAATTTAACAGTTAGCACTGTGGCTTTGCAGCCCCGGGGTCCTCAGACTACCCATTTGATGCTTACCCCTTTACCTATCAGTAGTAGGAAATTGAAAATCCCATTTGGCTGGGTGGTAAGCTCATCTGACTGGTAGGTAAAGTTTTTCTTTAAGATCCAGGAGAAAGACACCCAGAAAAGAAAGGCCTACACCATGGTGGAAAGAAGAGAATAAAAAGAATACAGCAATAACAGCATGCAAACATTGAAAGCTGTATCATGTGATTGAGGTAAAGAGTACAAAAACTTAAGAGGCCAATGCTCCCACTGGAATTTAGTAGCAATGGATGGATGAATCTCAGTTTTTGGGGTTTCCTGGAGGAGCTTCAAACCCCACCTGCAATCAGACACATGCCGTTTGTTAACAGAACTCTGGTTAGGATTGAATTTACCATTTGGCCCTTATTAGAAAGAGTCTAGAGGCAGCACTAATTGTTAAAGTGATTCTGTCACTTCTAAAAAAAGAATATATATATATATATATATATATATTGTAAAAGCTTAAGGTTCTTTACCTTCATGCATGTATGCATTGTATGCATGAAAGTAAAAAACCTTCTGTGTGCAGCGCCGCCAGCCCCCGCCCCCCCCCCCCCCCCCCCCCCCCCAAAATACTACCCTGAGCCCGACCTTGGCCCAGCGAAGTACACAGGAGACTCGGCTTTCAAGGATGTCCCCCTCCTCATTGGTTAAGACACAGCAGCGGGAGCCATTGGCTCATGTGCAACATGCCGCCCATGTAAAGAAAATGGATATTATATCCATCCTCAAATGAGGGCAGCATCCTACTAACCTGAACTCAGGGATTCGGCTCCGGAGTAGTTGCAAAGAAACCTTGGCAGAGCTCCCCCCCCATAGGACACCTAAAAACAGACACACAAAACACAGTTATATACAAGCATGTCTCCAGACCTAAACCCCATTAAGCATCTTTGGGGCCTCCTCAAAGGGAAGGTGGAGGAGCGCAAGGTCTCTAACATCCAGCAGCTCCGTGATGTTGTCATGGAGGAGTGGAAGAGGACTCTAGTGGCAACCTCTGAAGCTCTGGTGAACTCCATGCCCAAGAGGGTTAAGGCAGTGCTGGAAAATAATGGTGGCACTTGGACACTTTGGGCGCAATTTGGACACTTTCATTTAGGGATGTACTCACTTTTGTTGCCAGCAGTTTAAACATTAATGGCTGTGTGTTGAGTAATTTTGAGGGGACAGCAAATTTACACTGTTATTGTAATGAACCGCCTGGCGGTACCTCTATCAATCCACGGAATAGGATTCCCCAGAGCACGGAGTCTAAGTCCCAGTCTGCTTGTTCACCAGGGCCCCTGATGGTGGGGATGGACTTGGAGCAGACAGAGACCTGGTCGGGCCCCTGAGTACACCCACCCGTGGTAGAGGGATCTGCCAGAGGTATCTGCAGGATGAGAGCCTGATGTGAAGAGGCGGATGGGTCCGAGCAGGACAGATGGATGGATGGCTGAGGAGAAGCGTGGTCAGACAGGCCGAGTCGGTAACCGTGGGGACAGCACGGTACAAGGCGGCAGGCAGAGAATCGTCGGGTCACACGCTGGGTCAGTAACGGTAGGTCAGATCCAATGAGGGGCATCCAAAAGAGAGGTCAGGCAAGCCAGGGGTCAGAGCAGGAGAATACAGCACGGTCAGGAACAATCCGGGTCAGCAACAATCAAAAATAGCACGGATACAGGAGCAGGAATACAGAATAGACCATATGGCAACCAGTGTCAGCACAGAGCAGATTTAAATACTGTGCCCTGTGCTGTCATTGGTGCCAGGCGCGCACCCGCGGTCCCGAGTGCACATGCGCGAGTTTTGTCATTGCCGCGGCCAGCCAGGACCTAGTGCCCGCCCCCCAGTGCAAGTCGGCACACTGCGCCTGCGCCGAGCCACACGCCTTGGCGGCCCCTGACAGTTATACAAGCTGTACACTCACTACATTGTAGCAAAGTGTCATTTCTTCAGTGTTGTCACATGAAAAGATATAATAAAATATTTACAAAAATGTGAGGGGTATACTCACTTCTGTGAGATACTGTACAATGATGAATATTTATTACAGCACCAACAATCAGAATACAAATAGTTCCAGCTGTAATGAACGCGATGCCCGATCCTGCCCTTCTCACCAACCTGTGACAAAGGACCCGACAATCACACCACGCTGTCACTTACATAACAATGCTACTCTCAGCTACAATCTATGTGCCAGCAGCCTGAGAGTGATTGTCACTGAGTTAATTAATTAAGCAATTAACTCTTTAAACTGCCACCACCGCTTTTTTACCGAGAAGGAGGAAACTCACAATCTTAGCAATAACACTAACATTTTAGCATAAATGTCTGCAACACACACTGTCACCACTGACAGGTATATTCAGAGGATTAATATCAGTAGCACTCTTAAAGAGACACGGATTCTTTAGTTTGCATTAAAATCCCTAGGGTAGGTAGGAGACTGCTTTCTCTCCTTTCGTATGTGGTAGGGTAGTCATGTACGACCTTGATTAATTCGGTATGATATTCCCCAGTCAAATATATACCTAATTCTAATGTGTCCTGTTCCTGTTGAATTCTATGAATTGTATGTGGAATTGTTAAGTTGTAGAATAGACGTTTTATGGCACGCTCTGCATTCCTTGAGCTTTAATGGCCTTACACATCATCTGTGACAGGCTTGACTGAGTTGTTATGATTTTACAATAGGGCAGAGGGAAGAGTTTTTCATGGTTCGTGGAAACAGACATCCTGCCAAGACCAATTAGCAGTTTACAGCTCTGACCCGGTCTGGATGCTGATGTCTACAGTATTGTGTTTTAGTTAAGATAAGAGGCTCTTTTGAAGTTCGTCAAAACTTACAGCTACAAATTCCACAGTTTTCATGAGAAGGGAAGGGACGAAGATCACTGCTCATGAAAAACAAAATGGCTGAGACCTTAACAAGATGGCTGTCATGTACAACTTCCATGTCCCTATTGCGCACAATCGTTACACTAGCCTTATAATATGATCTATATATCAAATATACATATATATATAACATCTATATACAATCTCAGGATTAGGTCTAACATATTTCCCAATTATTTTGTCCTTGCTTAGTAGATATCAAACTGTATCTAAGGCAGACCAGATTTGCTTATTATGATAGGTGTACCTCGTTATAAATTTCACTGTATTAGAATTCCCTTTTTGGCATATAAAAAAAACAGATCGAGGTCATCCTACAGCTTTTTGATAGGACATTTTAAGCCATTTGCAACTAGCCAGGCTCCAAGTGTCTATCTCTTAAAGCTGCTGCTTCTCTCTGAAAATCCTCTTCATTAGAACAATTCCTTTTAACTCTAAGGCATTGTCCATAAGGTATGCTTTGTGGATGTGTGGATGGGAACTATCACTTGCAGGATGGTGTTTCCCATGGTTTCCTTCCTGAATAAGGACGTGGATCACTTACCAATCATCCTCAATCTCAAGTGAACATGAGATTAAAATAATTTTTCTCCAGTATTTGTAGGAATACATTTAACTCCTGCCTAGGACCAGTCCAGATCATGAGGATATCATCTATGTACCTGTGTCAGGTGAGAATATGGCACAGGTACATAGATAAGTCCTCCCTGGCAAACAATTGACACTCCCCCCCCCCCCCAGATATAGATTGGCATATGATGGGGCACAACAAGTCCCCATCACAACACCCTGTACCTGGAGGAAGTGGGAGCCTGCATATGTAAACACATTACAATGTAAAATATGGTTAAGAGGTTGCAAAATAAAACTATTAAAAGCCCAAGATGACCTGTTAGCTTCATCCAAAAATGATCTAACCACCCTTAAGCCACAAGCATGCAGGATGCTGGAATATAATGCTTCCACATCGATTGCGATCAGAAGGGCTTCTTGGGTATTATAATGCCTTCTAAGAGGTGAAGCAAGTCCGGTGTGTCTTTGACATAAGATGGGTGTGGAAGTGCCTTTGATACAAATTTTAATGGGTACAACTTGGATGCAACTTTGGATGGGTGTGGCTTTGCTGCAACTTTGGATGGGTGTGACTTGGATGAGACTTTGGATGGGTGCGACTTTGATGTAACTTGGAATGCGACTTTGGATGGGTGCCACTTTGATGCGACTTTGGATGGATGAAACTTTGATGTCACTTTGGATGGGTGTCACTTTAATGCAACTTTGGATGGGTGCGACTTTGATGCAACTTTGGATAGGTGCGACTTTGATGCAACGTTTTTTGCTAATAGGAAAATATAACAGTTCTGTTCATGTAGTGCAACTTTGATGCAACTTTATACTCTCTGGCACTCAAGTTGCTTCAAAGTAGTGCAGGAACCTTTAATGTGTCCAAAGTTGCATGTTAGGGTTAAGGGATAGGGTCAAATGTTAGGGCTAGGTTTAAAGTGTTACTAAACCTAGGACCAGAATTCACTATATCTGGTCTCATACAGTACGCAGAACATGTAAATGCAATTATTTAGTAAATATAAATTGCTAAATACATTTTCTCCTCAGCAGTATATAGCAGTCTTGTGACTTCTATCAGTGTCCGGCTGTGCACTGGTTAATCTTGTAGGAGGAGTTTTCAATCTCCTCTGACTGTTCTATGAGGCTGCATAACCCCTGATCCTCTGTCTGGACAGCACTGATTAGCCCTGTGCCAATCACATACACCCTCCCAAAAAAAAAACCCCAACAACTCTCTAGTAATAAACATGTCAGGGCTGGGCTCCTGCTGCTAAGGCTGGCCATGCATTATACAATTTTCTTGAGAAATTTGCTTTAGATTTACCAAAAATCATATAATATGAGGATACGCTTTCAACTGTATCCAATTAGGCAGGCCCTCGCACTACATAGTTGAAGGTAAATCTTAAGGAAATTGGGCAGAAATTGGACAGAAAATTGTAAGAAAATTGTATAGTGTATGGCCTGCCTAAATTGGAGCTCCAGTCAAAATGTTAAAAAATACAAAAAGTCAGCAGCTACAAAATCTGTAGCTGCTGATTTTTAAAAAACAGACACTCACCTGTCCCATGATGCAGCAGTGTCCTCACCGTTCTCTCTCTCCGGTGGTGGCATCCTAAGTGTGGGCACCTGGCTGTGATGGCTTGTGGCTTCACAGCCGGTTCCCCTTTGTGCATATATAAGTAGCGCTGCACCTCGTGAATGGTCCTGTAGTCTTCTCGGACATGTCACATGTCCCAGAAGACTACTGGGAGGGAGGGGGGCAGGACAACTTACGCTTCCGATCGGCTAGGCAATTGCAGCGGAAGTGGGAGCAGTCAAAATCAGGTACCCGCTCCCCAAAGGTGCCAATCCTTAACGGGGAGCGAGGGGTGAGGCCTTAAAGTGGAACTTCACCTTTTTGTTGGAGCTCCGCTTTGGGGAAGCAGAGAAACAAAGTAAAGAAGTACACTCCTGCTGATACTAAAAGTTTGGTGTTTGCATGCTTCCCAATGAGCAATAGATGGAGGACAGGGGCAAAGGACGCTCAGGGGTTTATTTACTAAAGCTGGAGAGTCCAAAATCAGACTCCCTTCTGCATAGAAACCAATCAGCTTCCAGGTTTCATTGCCAAAGCTTCATTGAACAAGCTGAGGTTAGAAGCTGATTGGTTTCTATGCAGAAGGGAGTCTGATTTTGGACTCTCCAGCTTTAGTAAATAAACCCCTCTATGTCAAAGCCCTAAATAATCTTTAACCACAACCCCAACGTGAGGTAATCTTTTCATTTTTCCATTAAATCCTCAACAGTCATCTTCTGTTGGATTACCAGGGTGATTAGTTTGGCATGCAGGAAGTAGGCCTTCCTGTTCTGGAACAGATGCAAGGTCATTTAAGTTCTTGTGCAGATTTCATTTGACTTTACAAGCAAGACATGTGGTCAGCGAGTTCTGCAAAGTTTGGGACAAGAGACTCAAATCCTTTTCATCTTTAGCAGCTTTTCTTTGATTATCAGTATTTCTTTTCATGTGTTCTCTCCTGCCCATTTATTCTGCCTGTTGTATCCCGTTGTGTGCTGACGTAAGGATAGACCAGGAAAGAAAAATTACGGCAAGTATCTAATAACAATTTTCCATGATATTTTCTGAAAGCAGAGGCCCTGTGAAATAAAAAGGTAGTTTCAGTTTTTTATGTTGCACAATATTTGTGCAACTGTTTATCAAATCTATATTTTTAGGAAAATTACACTAAAGTGAATTGTAGTGTATACAAAGACAATATAATCCCTAATTTTTTTTTTGTACAAAAAAGGTGATTGTATTGAGTAAAGAGATACCAAATATATCAGGCCTCAAAACGAAAGTACAAATAATTATGGTACCCCAAATTTTTAATGGGCAATGCTTTAAAAGACTTTATGGGTCATCAGTTTAAAGTTACCTGCAAATGAGGGGTGTAGAATTACTGTACTGCTCCCATTCTGACGGTTGCAGGTACACCCAACATGTGTGGTGCAATTGCGGTTTACATACACATACGCACTTGTATGGGCAGAGAGACAGGAATGCTTTTATTGTTTTTTTATTTATGTTATGTGGGAACTCGCTTCAAATGGTAGAGCTTTGTTAAACGCACACAACAACTCTCTTTCTTTTTAAGGCTTTTTAGCCCACTTTTATTTAAAGAAAATGTCCCGTCACATAAAGTTTCCCACACAGGAGTATCCACCATCAAACACATGCAAATGAAAACTCAGCCTCTTGGCTTGTACACAGGTTTTATATCTGTCTCCTACAGACTCTTTCCAAAATATGGCTCTTGCACACAACTGGCCACGAGCACACAGCTAGTCTGGCTTCCACCTCTCCTGGGTGACGTCCTCCTGACTCCAAAGCAAAGACCTCCTGTCTGCCAGGGTGGAGCCCTCCTGACTCCTATCTGCCTGGTCCTGACTCTATGAAAAGGCCTGCACACACCTGTGCAATCAGTCTCCTGGCCATTCCCAAAACCTGGTCCCAGGATTGGAGATTTCATCCCTCCCAGATCTCTTTGAAATCTCCAGGCTCCAGATCCCAAAACAGACCTTACAAACAAAGGAGGAAAGTAAAAAAGCCACTTTCCTCCGTATCAATCACTTACCCTGGAGCCCCTCAACCTGCCTTGTTGAGAATCCTGGGTGACAGATTGCCACACTGTCACAGTTATAATATTTTTTTAATAATTTTTTTGCACCTTTTTATGTATTTTGTTTTTTTACTTAACTTTACTACTATCATATACAGTTGCAAGAAAAAGTATGTGAACCCCTTGGGATTACGTGGAGTTTTGCATGAATTGGGTATTGCACATCCAGGGTGATTAGTGCAATACAGTTATGTGCTTATGGATTGATTACATCAGCGAGAAACTATCTTTTTTACAACGTTTATCAAGGTTATCAGATTCCTGCTATCTCTGGGTAAATTGCTGCTCTCATCTGCTTTCTCCACTCTAAGCTGCAACCTCAATAACGCATATTCTTTCTGCAAATCTCAGAACAAATAGTGTATATATTTTTGTCTGTTTGTGTTGATTAGTTTTCACCTCTTGTTGCACTCTTTTTATGACTGTGGCCTGTGTCTGGTCTGTGTTTGAGAAACATCCCCCCCATTCATGTGATCCTTATCAGTTCCTAATTGGGGCAGAGAGGAGTGCTCATTTAGTCATCTCCCTATAAATTTAGATCAGCTCATGGGGGGTGGGCAGAGTCACAGATGGGGTGCAGTTTTGTGTGTGAGTGCAGTTTTTGTTGGAGTGTGGAGGCGCAGTTGAACACAGCAGTTTAACAGGATAACTCAAGCAGCAGGAAGATACAACAAAAAACTCTACTGCACGCTGGATGGACTGCAAGCAAACACCCTGGAAAACATCTCCTACAAGTCTGAGTCCCACTCTGTGTACCTTTGGAATATGTCCCCTCTACTCCTTCTTTTCATATTACTATCCTGCGTTCCCAAAATCTCACTTCTTTACCCCTCTGCTCCACCCCAAAACTTATACATATCACCCTCACTGCTACCATCTCCCTACTACTGCTCTCATGACCTTCTGCTGATACTTTACTCTCTTGCTGACCCAAACACCAGGCCTGGAAGGCATGTACACTTGTGTACATCCCGCTCCCATGTTACTTTTCTCACCCTTCTTCTTCTAACCTATCTCCCCAAACCCTGGTCCTCCACTATTTCACCCCCACACCAGGCACCCTCCTTCTTCCAGGAATAGCCACAATCCCCTCAATTTAATATCAGTTCCCGTGCTCCCAAAAACCACCCTCCCTTTTTCATGTGCGCTCTGGAATGCCCACTCTGTCTGTAATAAGCTCAGCTCTGTCCATGACATTTTTTGTCTCCCTTAACCTACTAGCAAGTACAGAAACCTGGCTTCAAGCAAAAGATTCTGCTTCTCCTGCAGCACTTTCCTATGGAGGCCTCCTCTGGACCCACTCACCCAGACCCAGTGGTCGGAAAGGAGGAGGGGTTGGTTTGTTTCTATCCCCACTGAGCACCTTTCAAGTCCTTCCTAACTATCAGGGAATGAGAAGATCACCACAGCACATGAATCTGCACATGCGCAGGCATACAGGAAGGCGGGCACTAGGACCCAGGCGCACCTGTCACCGATGACGGCGCCGAGCAGGCACTAGGACCCAGGCGCGCCTGTCGGCACTGGGCGGGCTATTTAAAGAGCACTTCGGTGCTCATTCATTGCTGACTGGTCTTTCAGCTCTCCCCGTGTCCTGCTAGTTTCTGACGTTCCCTTTGTTGCTGACCCGGCTTGTTCCTGACCCGACTGCGATTGCTCTCCTGCTCCTGGTTCCTGACTTCGGCTCTGCTCCTGACCTTGGCTTTCTCTTCTGATTCGGTACTGCGCTGCCTGACTGTTTATGACCCTGGCTTGTCTGACCCTGCTCCAGTCCTGTTCCTAGCTACCTACCTTGCTCTGCTGCACATCTGGCAATCCACAGTACCTGCCTGCTCTATTGCTACTGTGCCCTAAATCAGTGGATACTCAGTCTACCAAGGCCATCATCTGCAAGAGCCACAAGCAACAACTCCTGGCACTCTTGTCCCCCTGGTCCCTAGACTCCCCCTGTTCCAACCTCAGTGGGGTCAGGGCTAGGGACACAAGTAAGGCCGACCTCGTCAACTCAGTCTCCCATCAGGTACGTGACACTAACCCTCCCTCTCTATCCTTCTCTTCTTTCGAGACTCACTGAATTCGGCTGTTTTCTACCATTTCTCTGAAGATTGCAGTGATCTATCAGCCTCCAGGACCGGTGTCCCGCTTTCTTGATGATTTCTCCGCCTGGCTACCCTACCCTACTTTCTCTCCTCTGAACTACCCACTATCATTCTCGGAGATTTTAACATCCCCATTAATGTCAACAACCCGGCTACATCCCAACTCTTCAACATAAACTCATCTTTTGCATTAGCACAATGTATACAGTCCTCCACTCACTCTGATGAGAATACATTAGACCTTGTTTTCTCCCATCTTTGCACTCCCTACAACCTCACAAAACACCCCTTTCCTCTCTCTGATCACAATATCATCACCTTTACAGTGTCCTCATCTTCAAACACTTATCCCTCCAAGCAGCAAACAGTTACCCACAGAAACCTTCACAACTTGAACCCTGCTCCTTTCCATTCTGCAACTGACCAACTCTATGACAGAACCTCTCCCCTGTCCTACCCTGACCTGGCCCCTGCGGTCTACAACAGTTCGCTTTCATCCACATTAGACTCACTTGCTCCTCTAACAACACAAAGCATCAGGCCCCGACCATTACAACCGTGGCAAACTAACGACACCAGAAATCTTAAGCGACAGTCGTTCGCTGGAGCGATTGTGGCGTAAAACAAAAAATCTCCAAGCATTCACCCGATATAAATCTGCTTTGTTCACATACAATTCCTCCCTCCATGCTGCCAAACAAGCCTACTTTGTCACTCTCATCAATAGCTTGTCATCTAGTCCTCACCGTCTCTTCTCTACTTTTAACTCTCTACTCTCTCCACCTCCACCTCCACCCAGTACCCCACTTACTGCTCACGAGATTGCAAATCATTTAAAAAACAAAACAAATAGTAGTAAAAGTGAGCGCTCTTAAAATAAGCAGCTGAGCACACAAGGAAACCAAATAAAACCTTGTTAAATATGTAAAAATTGTGCAGCGCTACGATAATTATACAATAAATCCAAAAAATGTCTTAAAAATAGAATAAATCGTACAAGCGTGACAGTCTATGTGATGTGAATAACATAGAATCTTCAATCCAGTGGTGGTGCTCTCAGTAGTAAAGTAAGAATTACACACTCACCAGAAGCGTAATATCAATATATATATCAATAAAGATCCCCCTTCACAGGTCTGGGTCACAGCAAGGCTCTAAAATGATAAAGCTCCTCACAGGAGACCAAGGAGAGTGCCCATAGTGTAGAAGTACAATTTATTCTATTTTTAAGAAACTTTTTGGATTTATTGTATATTTATCATAGCGCTGCACAATTTTTACACATTTAAAAAACAAGATTGATGCAATTCGTAGGGGCATCGCCACTGCACAGACATCCATCCCACTTAGCATACCTTATACTAAACCTCCCTCGACACTTTCCTCTTTTTGACCTTGCTACTACCGAAGAGGAGGTCACTAAGGTTTTCTCAGAAGCCCATCTCACTACCTGCCTGGATCCTGTCCCCTCACAACTACTACGGTCACCCCTCTTCTTCCATCCTATGCTGCCTCACTCACATCTTCAATCTCTCCCTCTCTAATGGTGCCTTCCCCTCCCCTCTAAAGCATGCACACATCACTCCCATACTTAAAAATCCCTCCCTGGATCCCACCAACTTGAACAACTTAAGACCCATAACCCTGCTGCCATTTACCTCTAAACTCCTAGAACGCTTAATCTACAATCGCCTGAGCTCCTACCTCACTGACAACAACCTTCTTGACCCTTTACAGTTTGGCTTTCGCTCACTACACTCCACTGAAACTGCCCTACTAAAACTCACTAATGATCTACTAACTGCTAAAACCAATGACCACTACTCCATACTCTTACTACTTGACCTCTCTGCAGCTTTTGATACGGTTGACCATCCCCTCCTCCTCAAAAAACTCCACTCTCTTGGCCTCCGAGACTTTGCTCTCTCCTGGTTCTCCTCCTACCTATCACAGTGCTCCTTCAGCATTACCTATAACGCCTCCTCTCCATTTCCTCTTTCTGTAGGGGTCACTCAAGGTTCTGTCCTTGGACCCCTTCTCTTCTCCATCTACACCTCCTCCCTTGGTCACTTGATAAACTCCCACAGCTTTAAGTACCATCTCTATGCTGATGACACACAAATCTATCTTTCTACCCCTCACCTCACCCCATCAGTCTCCTCTCGCATTACTAACCTACTAAGTGGCATATCAGCATGGATGTCATTCTACTTCCTCAAACTCAATCTTTCCAAAACTGAGCTCTTAGTATTCCCTCCAGCCCATGCCCCCTCCCCTGACTTCTCCATCACAATCAATAACACAATCATCAGTCCCTCGCCTCATGCCAGGGTACTAGGTGTAATCCTAGACTCCCATCTGTCCTTTCAGCCCCTAATCCAATCGCTGTCTAAATCTTGTAGACTTCACTTCTGCAACATCTCCAAGATACGCCCATTGCTAACCTCGAAAACCACTAAGCAACTTATTCACTCCCTGGTTATCTCTCGCCTTGACTATTGTAACTCCCTCTTCATTGGCCTACCTAATCGCAGGCTATCCCCTCTTCAGTCTATCATGAATGCTGCTGCCAAACTCATCCACCTTACTAACTGTTCTGTATCAGCCACCCCTCTCTGCCAGTCCCTCCACTGGCTTGCCATTGCCCAACGGATACAATTCAAAACATTAACAATAACATATAAAGTCATTTATAACTCTGCCCCAAATTACATCACCAATCTTGTCTCCAAATATCACCCAAACCGTACTCTCCACTCCTCACACACGACCTCCAGCTCTCTAGCTCCCTTGTCTCCTCCTCCCATGCTAATCTCCAGGACTTCTCCAGAGCTTCTCCCATCCTCTGGAACTCTCTACCCCAATTTATCAGACTATCGCCTACTCTGCTCACTTTTAGGCGATCTCTGAAAACCTATCTCTTCAGGGAAGCCT